AAAATTGTAAAAATTAAACTAAGCCCTAATAATTTTTTTTTTTACGGACGACCACTGCATTCAAAATATTCAAAATATAATGAATGGCTTTAGTTATTATGATGATTACATAGCCATCAATTGCCATAATGATAAAAAAAATGCACGAAAGTCAATTTGTGCCAATTCTAAGTCACTGCAAACAAAAATATAATATATATAATATATAGTAAATTGAAATGTGAAAGTTGTTACCTTCTTACCTTTTCCTCTCATTATTATAATAATTATAACTACCATTTGAATTTGATCCATATTTCAATTGCACAAATAAGAAATTATTTTTGTTACCTGATCATGAAGTGGGTAGTCTCCCCGCCAGCCGCCACTCGATGCAGGTTAATTTCTTTACCTTTTTCTCTTATCTCCTTTTTGTTTTTAATTAAAGTAATTAGGTATTTAAGTGGTAAATTTTACTAACTTAATTTTATTATATGGAACAAATGGTATAAGATCTTAAATAAAAGATACTTTAGTCCATGAACTATCAATTAAGTCAATTGTCCATAAATAATTAACTAAAGTCAATGAATAGTTCAAAATTATCAAAAATGACCTCTGGGGTCTACAAATGTTCAAATCTTTAAAACTCTACATATATGCACAAGTTAATAAAAGGAAGCCAAACGATTTTTTTTTTAAAAATAATATATGAAAGCTCATTTCAAAAATAACACGCACGCACGCACTCGCACGCACGCACGTACTCGCGCACACATTTCATTTTTAATAAATGAACTTATTTTTTATTTTATTTCAAAAAGAAAATCACTTTTGAATTTTAATTTTTTTATGTAGCTTATTCAAGATCACGAAATTAAAAAAATATTTTAATACACAAAATTTATATAAACAATTTTGATTGTTTTCACCTAATATTATACTTGATATATAATTATAAAGAGCTAAGCGCAATCATTAGTTATTTATCTTCATATAATAAATACATATCGCAATAATTCATAAAAATGAAGAAATAACAAAAATGAGGTAATATTGATAATAATAACTAAAGATGTTTCTAGAACTATGTATGTTTCTTATTATCATTCTTGGTAGATTTTTGCTTGCATGAAGTTATGTTTTTACCTTTGATCATCATTCACTTCATATATAAAAAGATGTTTCTAAAATTATTTATTTTTGGTAGATTTTTGTTAGAATGAAATTACATTTTTTTTCTTGTTCATCTTTAATACAAATATATCATCTTATTCATTTTTATTTGTAAAGTTACTTTTTAACATCTTTTCTTTAATTTCAACCTAATATATATTATTAACTTTATCACATTAATTTATTTTCAAGTATATTAATTAGAGCCAAAATAAAGATTGAGATAGTTAATTCATTATATTTTTATATAAAAAGTTGGTTTTTTTTTCATAAGCATAATGAATATTACAATAACTCATAAAAGAAAAAAAAAAGAAAGTGAAGTAATAACAAAATAAGTTAATGGTGATAACAATAACTTAAGATGTTTCTAAACTATTTGATTTTTTTGTTATCATTCTTGGTAGATTTTTATTAGTGCCAAGTTACATTTTTGCCCTCGGATCATTATTCACTTCATATATAAAAAAATCATTTTAGAATAATTTATTATCTTTCTTCATAGATTTTTGTCAGTGTGAAATTACATGTTTGTCCTTGATCGTCCTACACTTCACTCTTCTATATAGTAGTAATATATATATAAAGTGTACTGAAGTTTCGAGACACTTACACCCAATACGAACCGAAAAATTAAACTTTTGAAAAAATAACGCCTAATTTAAATTGAAAAATCGAAGTATTAAATAATCAAATTAGTTTAATTTGATTTGATTTTTAGATATTTACGTCACCTCTAATCCCTGCCAATTACACTCAATTATCTACTTATTAAGTAATTACATGATTAACCAAATAAAATAGATAGTGTAATTACATCAATTAAATCAAATCCAATTATAGTGTGGCCTTCCAAACAGGACCATTTTGGTCATTTTGTTCATAGGTTTTCTCTTGTGTGAGTCGTCTTCTCCAAGGAAACCTAGCTCTTGAACACATTTTTGCTGTTAAACACATTCCGATTCCGATTCCGACCCAGATGAGTAGCTTCAAAGGAAACAAAAAGACGTGTATAATTTCCTAAATCTAAGCAGGTTTTGAAGGTATTCTGCTTCCCATTTCTTCAATTCTGTAATGTCAGAAATCAAATATTCCTAAATTGATTTCTGTTTAACCTCTATTACTTAGTAAGCCTCGTTAATGCTGTGTTTTAAAAATCTTAGAAACACCAAATGAACGAATGGGTGATCAAACTGTTAGTCTCAACAATGACTTGGGAAGTCGGGTTGGGACGGATCAAAACAAGTTGAGCTAATAAATGTGTGGATCAAGTTTCAAACCTGTATGGATTGGATAGTTATTTTTTCATATCTGATTTCGCCACCTCTAATTTTACCTATAATGTTTGTCATTGTTCACCTATTATGTTGGAAAAACTCGATATTAAGATAATCGAGACACGAGTACTTGCATATTACTACTTCTGTTAATCTTGATGTTGTTTCTTCTTTGGAAATCGTATAATGAGTAGCCTATCTGTAATCAGTAATTATGGCTGTTGGAAGTATCATTAGAATACTAACTGTTCTCTGTGTACAGTAATCACATTCCAACTTTTTCTGCTTCGGGAGTCTTCAAACCTCAGCTTACCGGAGACGGCTAACGGAGGCAAATGGAATCAAATAAGAGTAAAATACTGATAATCGGAGTAACAGGCCGTTTGGGTTTTGAACTAGCAAAGGCCAGTCTCAATTCCTCTCATCCCACATTCGGACTTGTTAGAGATTCAGCATTCTCTGACACTCATAAATCCCAAAAGATTCATACCCTTACCGAAGCGGGCCTCACAGTAATCAAGGGTTCATTGCAAGATGAAGATATCCTGCTTGAAGCACTCAAGCAAGTTGAGATCGTGATTTCTGCTGTTTCATCTAAGCAAGTCCACGAACAAAAGATTCTGATTTCTGCTATAAAGCGTGCTGGTTGCATTAAAAGGTTCCTCCCTTCAGAGTTCGGGGCTGACCCTGACAGAACTCAAGTTTCTGATTTGGACCACAACTTCTACTCGAGAAAATCCGAGATTAGGCGTATTATTGAAGCTGAAGGCATTCCTTACACCTATGTCTGTTGTAACTTATTTACTAGTGTTCTCCTATCGTCACTTGCTCAACCAGGTCGGAAAGCCCCTCCGAGAGATGAAGTCAGCATATTCGGTGATGGAACTGCTAAAGCTGTCTTTATGAACGAAAATGATGTTGCTGCCTTTGTCATAAATACAGTGGACGATGCACGGACTCTGAACAAAGTGGTATACATGAGGCCAAAGGGAAATGTGTATTCAATGAATGAGCTAGTAGGGATTTGGGAAGGAAAAATTGAGAAGACGCTAAAAAAGATTTACATCACTGAAGATGAGCTCTTGAAGAAAATCCGAGATACCCCATATCCTGAGAATATGGAGTTGGTTTTCATATACTCTACATTTGTTAAAGGAGATCAGACATACTTCAGCATAGAGTCTTCTGGTGGTTTGGAAGGGACACAGCTATATCCACAAATAACATACACCACAGTAAGCGAATTTCTAGACACCTTGTTGTAATATTTGTTGCATATTTCTGAACAAACAAATGTTTTTCTGCCTTTTATTGATGCATTCTAAACCTAGATATGCGCTATATTATTGTTTGGTGCAATTACATTACGTGCAATTTTCCAGGCTTTGTCACGTAGAGGCACTCCATTTCTATAGAAAAAAATATCAAATTCCAGTAGGCATACTTTATTTGATTATGCATTAAATTTATCTTGTCTTATTTTGAATATATATAATTACATGTTTCCATCTTTGTTCATATTGGACATAGACATTTATTGTCTTAATCCTCTTCTCAAACACTTATATTGTGGATGCAAAAAGTTTAAAAGTTGCAGCACTCTTGCAGTAGTGAAATTATGCTATGATTGTCAGTCTGCATTGTTGAGCTTCGACTATGGAGCATTGAGGGCTATTTAAGTCTACAATTTATAGACAATTTTTCATAAAAAATGCAAGTATGGTTGGGATTGATATGACGGTGTTATTTCTTGGATCGAATGAGTTCTTCAAAATTTGTGTCTATCACTGTGTATCTTTATGAATGACACTGAAAGGATTAAAAACTTGCATGCATGATCTTGTCGGTGGGAATGATTACATAGGAGATCTAGTTTGCTATCATGAAATGTTCAGATGAAGAATCAACTCCAACAAAAGCTTCTTTCTCAGTGATCCCAAAGCCAGTGCCTATAGGATTAACAGGGTGAGAGATTGTACAAGTTACATAGAGAAAAGCTTCCCTTCCGTACATATCTTGGATCCCAATTTGCGTGGGAAGGAAGAAAATCTCATACTTTGACAACATGGCTACTAAAGTAGGCAAGGAAGGATGTTATCTTATTGCGAGGGGTGTGGGGGTTGTTCTGATCAAAAGCATTCTACAATGAATTCCCCCTTATACTCTCACTACTATTAACCCTCCTAAAACCACTCTTAAACCTAAGTCTATCTGTTTTAATGTTATCTATTGTTGAGCAAGGTATGGCAAAATCCAATTCCATTCAAATTCTAATTCCTGATGTAAAGGCTGTTACAGCAACATACCCAGTATTGTCCGACACAGTGGGGTCTAAGGAGGGTAGAGTGTTGGTAAACCTTACTTCTACCTCAGAGGTTAGGTACTAGAGGAGGTGATTGCTAAGCTTTGAAATCAAATGGCATCTAGATGCTCTTGTTGCTCTAGAGACACTATTTCCTATGTGTTCTGTGAAGGGGAAACTGCTAAGTATATTTGGAACTACTTTGGGGCTCAGGGAATAAACTAGGTGATTGGAACATCAGAAGAATTGTAAGACAATGGGGAGAGTTCAAACCAGTCAACAACATCCATAGGCTATCGCTGTAGATTATTCTAATTTATATTTGCTGGGAAGTTTGAAAACCATATACCTCTTTGAAGTATAGAGAACAAAATATGCTTTCCTACAATAGAATGGAATACTATATCGATTGGCACATCACTATTGTTGCCTTACACAATACCTTCAACATACCTGTGAATTTTCACAAATGGGGTCTGAGGAGGGTAGAGTGTGCACAAATCTTAGAATTACCATGTGGAGGTACAGAGATTGTTCAATCTCTGAAAGACCCTCAGCTCAAGTGCAGCAAATCCAAGTGCAAGGGAGAAGAAAATAGCATAAAAACCATAGCAACTAACAAGGGGACAGTGCAAATCCTACAAGAAGGAACCAAGAAAAATCATTCTGAGACTTTTGCGTCTAAGTCTGGGCTTTGCAACTATGACTTGGAAATGGATTCATTGATAATGAGATTGATTGTCACTTTTCATTAAATCAAATAGCCTTCAATTTAGGAACTTAATAGTAAAAAATTAGAACAAATCTCACCAATTTTTGATATGGAATTTTCCCAAATCAATGTAGTCTAACTTCTTAGTTTCTTCTCATGTGAAAGCAAGTTAGCAAAACGGATAAGAGCTTCTTCATTGGTGCCCTCCCCATGAACTGGTTCATATTGGCCTGTCTCCAAGTTGACTCTAGACACTGGCTTCTTCAATAGATTGTTACCAATTTGCACAAGTGTCTCCATGTTTTCTGTGGTTGCTATATCCATTGATGCAGCATCCCCGATCAAATTATCATCCTGTCAACATTTGAAAGAGTATACACTTTTATTTTCTTAATAATTATACTTATTCAGTTATAATATTCGTCCCCAAGTGTGTCAGTTTGTTGTTGTCTCCAATGTTTTCATCTCATCTGTTCTAAAGCCCATTCTTTTGAGCCGAGGGTTTATCAGAAATAGTATCTCTACCCCAACCAACATAGGTGTAAGATATATGTATACTCACCCTCCCTAGATCTCACATGTGGAATCACACCGAGTATATTATTGTTGTCAGATAATCTTAGTAAAGTCTAGCCTTGTTACCTGAATTCTGAGGTAATTTTTTTCATTATGAAGGGTTTGAAACATGGTTGAAACATGTATGTCCACCATATCAGCACTTGCATCACTATAAACATCTATTATTGGAGTGTCACCATTGTTGTATACCCAACCAAGCAAGCCCCACTTTGTAGCTGATGCTGCATTATACTTCCCTTGGTGCTTCCCAATACCTGTCCCTAATGATAATACCAACATTTTCTTGCTGTCCATTCTTTCCATCTCTTCATACTTTAAACTTCCCATCATTATTTCTTTTGAAATGTGTGTGATTGCCATTAGAGTCTGCCAATAAAAAAAATTCTACTTTAGTCATTCAATAACCATTCTGCATAGAAAATTACCATTATTCCTTGTACCAAATGATAGATGACAAGTTACTCACAGGATTATTAGCAGCTACACCTCCATCAATAAGATCAAATGTGTGGATTCTCCCTGCAGCATCCCTAGTCTCAAAATAGTGTACTGGGAAATAAGTTGGGGCTGCAGAGGTACTCAGACATATATCTGACAACAAGGCATCCTTTAACCCATTTGTTCTGCCCTATAAACAATTTTTCAATAACAATAACCATCATGTTCGCGGCGTAAAAAAAATATAAGAATAATTACAGTTCAATATCGTTGAGTAATGTAGTTTATAAATACCGAAAATGTATAGATTAGAATGTGTATACATCAACAGTAGTGAAGATAATGGGTTGAAGACGCTTGATATCGAAAGCTGGAATTACTGTATGAGTTAACATCTGCTTTATAGTAAGGTTCCCTAATATGGAATCAACCAATAATCTCAAGTACTCTCCATCATACTTTGGTCCACCAAACAAATGTGCCACATTATTCACGAAGTTTCTACGCCTGCATGTGTACACTAAAATTAGTTCATAAAAATATGATTTATCGAACTTACATTATTATTATGTTCAATCGATCCATTGATATGTTTTCCAAACCGAATCATGAGAATCTTGTCAAAATAATAAAATATTTATTTTATTTGTATGTTAATTATAATATGTGAAAAAATTAGTTATATTAGGTACTTAAAATTCTATTAAAGATCAAACAAAGAAATTAAAACTTTGTAAAAATTGACGGGATTGAGCTCGCTTTTGAATCATTTCGACTCTTGAATCATTTCAGTCAAAGTAACTTTTGTACAGATCAATGGCATGCCAATTTGACATCCTACACTGGAATATGACATACTTTCTCCATTTCTATTTACATGATACTATTTTAGATTTCACATATTTCTTAAGAAACTACATAAGTTTAGCATTGTGCCCTTATTATAATGTTCTCTTGAGCTCAAGTTTCAATTAATGAACACAAATTAATTTATTTTGATTAATTAAGTTGACCAATTATTACTTAGTTTTTCTATATTGATCAAATTCATATCTCGAAGGCTAATAACTCTCAAGGGTATGAAATAATGTCATTTATGCGTTAATTTTGTAAAATAACAAATATTAAGGAGTATATATTTTTAGTAAGAACGAAATATAAATAAGAACATAGAGAGTATATAATTATAATAAAGGGAATTTCTCATGAATATGTTCATCATTAGAAGTGTAGATGAATTCAGAGTTTAAAGTTAACATTAACAAAAATGAATATGATATACTTTATAGTTATATATTTTTAAAATTCTCTTGCACATGTTGTATAATATACAAGTGACACAAGATGAAAGTAATTTGTTCAGTTGAACTCGTTAAGACTCAGCATTAGAATAATTTACCGGGTTTGAGGAAAGATGTGTGGGCCATGCTCCATGTAGAAGGTAGAAATATCTTTTGCTGCATATAAAGGACGATTATCCCTATTTGGAGCTGTTAGCATAGTAGTTATTAGTCCACCTGTGCTTGTTCCAGCAACCACATCAAAGTAATCTGCTATTCTTGCATTAGGTCCATCAAGCTCCTACCATAATCAAATATATATATATATATATATATATATATATATATATAGGCTTAAGTCATCTACAACCCCTTAAAGTTATCCGCATAATTCACTTAGACACTTCAACTAAGATTTTTATCTATTGAACACCTTTACCCTCCCAATTTGAACCATCTGAACATTTTTTGCTTACCTGGCACATTGTTTGTGTTTCACCCCAAAGAGGCGCGTGAGAGGCCTTTAGGTAGGCTTTTTTTAGGAAAAAACTGTTCTTCTTCTTCCTCCCTCTTTACCCATCACTTCCTCCACCACACTAGTCATTGCCGCCATTATACATCCATCTTTTTCCTCATTTTTTCTCCGGATACTTCACTTCTATCTCCATCATTGTTTTTTGTTTCTCCATTGCCTTCTACCTCCATCAATTTTTTTTTGTTTTTCTATTACCATCGTACTAGGAGAGGATTGGTGGTACCTTCATTGCCGCCATGACAGCCACCATCATTAGAGAGCTTGAAATTTGAAATTTTTTTCTTTGTTGTTAATGTAGTGTTTTGGTGTTAAACTGATGGAGATTTGTGTGAATTTTGTTAAAGGACTTTTCTATTTATTTTTTATTTTGCTCACATTTTTGTAGGGTGTTCTTCAATCGAAAAATATAATCACCTCTGGAACTCAAAAAGAAATCCACTATTCATCGAAAACTGATTAATTTTCCGACCAAGTTCATCTTTTCGTCAAAAATGAAACGAGGAAGACAAGTTAAATTTTATTTTATTTTTTACCTATGGCCAACTCTTCCGTAACTCATCAAAAATAGCAATAAATCTTAATCCTTTTGCTTGAACTCTATGATGCAGATGAACTAAGAAGATTAAAAAATAATAGAATATTTACAGAGAGGGTTGTCGTGGGGGCTGGGGATTTGTAGAAGGAGAAGAGTTTTGGACTCCATGTAATAGAAGGGTAGATAAGCTATAGGATTTATATGATTTCTTTTTTAATTTTTAACATAAAAATAATTTCTTTTTTTTTACTTTATAATATATTTTATATTAAATTTTTTGGACTCTAAAATACCAAATGTCAGTATTTAATTCGTCAAATTGCCATGTCATCGCGAGTATATTTCACACACATTATACTTTTAGCTTATTGTCAAAAAAATGTTTAAATGGTTCAAATTTGGGAGGGTAAAGGTGTTCAATTGGTACAAGTCTTAGTTGAGGTGTCTAAATGAATTATGCGGACAACTTTGAGGGGCTATAGATGACTTAAGCCATATATATATATATATATGTTATATGTTGAGGATCAAATATTAGATAATAAATTTTACTTATATACAATGATAATGTAAGAAAAATTATACAACCAATATAGTCTATCTATTGAAATGTACCATAACGTTCTTTAGATTTTAATTGTGGTTTTAAACATATCACATAGTATGTTAAAATTAAAATTTTACTAAATTCAAATAAAGTAATTTTTATAAACAAATTAAAAATGAAAATAAGACATAAACTATGTAATGTTTAAAAACAATTCGAATAACATTCTCATTTCATCCTTACTAGCTTTATTTTTTATAACCACACAAATTTATGACTTACTTAGACCATATTCAAGAATCACTACAAGAAAACAAGAAATTAGTAACGCACAAAATTTCATAGTTAAATAACAAAAATCTTATACTAATACCATTAAACTTGGACTATCAACAGATTACAAGAAAATTCAGTTACTAGTGACCTTAACTTTGGATTATTGATAAAGTCTATAGCTAATCTCATGTTACTATTAGTAAATCTGTCTTTCTTGCTTAAACTTCGCGTAACACCATTATGAAAATTGATAGAAAAGCAACAACCCTAAAAAAGTAGATACCTGAAGTTTGGATTCAAGAAAGGCAAGAAGGGTTCCAGGAATAATGCCTCTAATTCCACCTCCATCAATACTCAACACTGTCACCAATTTCTTTTCATTGGTAGCACCACAAACAATTCCAACTTGAAGACATACTAAGAGAGTTAAAATAATAGGTGAACCTAATAAAGTTAATCTCCCCATAGTGTTGTAATAATATTGCTAAAACTGGTGTGGAGTAAAAGAGTTTAGGCCTATGTGTTATATATACATATAATATATATACTACTAGAAATAAAAAAAAATTCATACTAATTTCATTTAGCTATGTGATTAATTAAAAAGTAAAATAAGCTAACAATTTTTTAGTTGAATCAGTTAAATTTATCAATAAATTTCATAGCTTACGGGGAACTTCATCCATCACATGGCCCTTCTTGATTTGTTGTCTGTCTTTATTTTAAATTTCTTACATACCCGTGATTTACTTCATCACGTGATTGTCTTTTTTTTCTTTGTCCAAAATGATTGACTTTAACTACGGTAAATATTTAAATGAATTTCATTTGATGTGTGAAATAATATATTATATAATTTAATAAGGTGAGGATGGGATACATATTCTAATATTTCTCCTTATTTAAACGTGATCTTGAAATTAGATACTATATAACTATCAAGTAATTTTTTTTTATTGTGACTTACTTGCCTAACCACAACATTTACAATATATTTGTTCATATGATTGAATTTTCTTTTAACTTAAATGATTTAACGGCTTATAAAATGTATAATTGAGATAACCATTATTTTCATTTTGTTATGTTGTATTTCGTGACATGAAATGTTGGGACTAATTATTTTAGTAGTAATTTGTTGGAAAAATTATATAAATTGATAGATTTTAATAAATAATTATTGATTTTAACAATATTTTTTATTTATTACCATTTATAGCAATACTATGTTAAATCTGTCATATGTATTAAAAGTGAATTATTTGCAACATATATGAATTATAGTTGTTTTTAAAAATATATTACGTTTGTTTGGTAAAAGTTTGACATATTGTAATATAAGTGAATTAAAATGTGTGATAAATGAATTATTTATCATTAAAATTTGTATTATATGTGAATAAAAAATTGTTCTTTGTAATATGAATTAAATTTGTATTATAAATGAATTAACAGTGATCAAGTGAAAAAGAAATATTATTACTATAAATGATAATATTTTGTTATTATAGTATATTTATGTAAGTTTTCAAAATTTGTTTTGGTGTGGACACATTTCACAGTGACTATGTTTCAAGAATGTACTATTTAGTTCATTATAAAATTGATAATTTTGTGTCAAATTTATATATATTTTTGATAGTTTTTGGTGTGTGTGTATATATATATATAGGTCATAAATTGTAACTGTATTTGAACTTGTAAATAATTTTTTTCTAATATCCATACATTTAAAATAATGGAAAGATATGTTCCTAAAAAATATTAGCAATAATCCAACATGACTTTAATCATTTGTCTTTATCACATAATTCAAGAACCTTAATGAATTAATTATTCACGAAATAATAAATCATTATTTCTTTAATCAACATTAAAAGGAAAATAAAGAAGAACATAAGAAAGTCATTTCGTAATAAAAAGAAACATTTAAGTTTAGATTATACAATTGTGAAATATGTCTTTGGAGAAATTTCAAAATTTGTTAACATAATTTAAAAAATAAATTATGCTTGAACATGAAAGCATTTATAATTTTAGAACTTGCATAATGAATTTCTTCAATTGATAAGTGAAAAACTTCATATCTATTGTCACGACCCAAAAATGGGCGTGATGGCACTCGTCTTATCCCACCAAGACAAGTCAGCCTAAAACTCAACCATTACAATAAAGTGCGGAAGTAAAATATAAGTAACTTAATAAAACCCCAAAAACCTGGTAATCACGTGTACAAGCCTCTAAAGTATTACAATTGATTCAAAAGAAAACTCAAGTCTCAAATGAACTTGTTTCTAGAATAGAACAAGATCATAATTAAGGAGAAAACAGCTACCTGACAAATCTCCAAGAAGCCATGGAAAAGAAGAGAATGACAAGTACAACAAAAATCCAGGCTCATAACCAACAAAAATTTGTAGAAGCAAGGGGTGAGTACCAAACCACACGGTACTCAGCAAGTAAACGTCTAAACACAAGCTAAGGGAATGAAATACGGGTACTCCTACCACCCCAACTGAACCTCCACAATTACAAACTGCATAAAATTCAGTCTAACCTAACAGTTCATATTTACATAGCACGTAACCCTACAACAACACTTAGACAAATTACATATACATTCTCCACAACCACACTTTACCAAATTAAATATCCTCAATAACAAGCTCAGTATTCATCAATCACAAATTTCACAGAAAGTCAATCACAAGATCAGCAAAACACAATATCAAGTTCACCAATGATAAGTATGCGTAATGCAATGTCAAGTATAATGATGCATGTCTGACCTAGTGATACACACCCGCTGTCTGTCAGTCCGGGACCCATGGGGGACATATCTATCCATGCATCTGTCGCGGCGCACGACACGACCCTCGATAATAGTAACCATCGCGACGCGCGATACGTCCCTCGAAATATAGTATCCATCGCGCCGCGCGATACGTCCCTCGAAATGGTACATCCTCTTAAGTACCCATTCTTTCTCAATGCACATAACACTTGTCACAACCAATGCCTCAGAATAATGCAGATGACAAGTTCACACATATAATGAGGAGATGACCATTTCCATAACATCACACAGTTCACAACCACACAAACATGAAGTTACATCAACAATGATTCAACAAGCCTTCAACCCTTTCTCAACACAACAGACATAAACAATTAATCACGTTGCCTTTTGTTATCCCCATTCTTTTCATCATTAGAATTAAGCAATGTGGATAAGTGAACCCATCACCAATCCCGTTACTCCCAACATATACCACAAGGACATACACGCATTTCATACACTTAACAAGAGTTTAGAAATTCACTTGCCTGAATCCAACAAGAATTTACTCCAGAACTTGAGTCTTTTCCATTTGTTGAACTTCCAAATCAAATAAATCTAGCCAAATAATTAATCACAATAAGATTCAAAAATCAACAACACCCATATTTCTACGTGTATAGTCAATAACTCAATCCCAATTTATAATCACGTTCCTAATCTTGATGCCAATTAATATTCCAACTCTCATATTTCTCAAATTCGAACCTTGAGTTAAGTCATAATTTCTCCAAACACTACAACCCTAATACTTTTCTTACAATAAAATAACCCCAAAATTTAATTAGATATAACAATATATCAAACCTCGAATCAAATATGTTACCATGGATTTTTTTTTGAAAACACTGAAATCATATTATGAACAACTAATGGTAAACAACAATCTAAGAATTTTAAATTCCTACGCCTTATATATAAATCCCAATTCTCAAGCATAATTACTCAATTATGGCACCCCAATAATCATTAGTAACATAGCAATAAAAGAATTAGAAATACTACCTAATCTGCCAACATTACTAACCTTCAACTCCTTAATTAATTTCAACTAAAATAACATATTTCATACTTTAAAAACTTAGTAATTAATGACTTTGATTATTGTAACAACTTTTGAATAAGAAAAATCTCACCTTAACTCAATTAGAGGCGGCAGTCCACGCTCCGCACGGAGGAGTTTATACTCTCCGTTTCTTTCTTTTCCTTCCTCTTTTCTTAAATAAAATAATTAGGTATTGAAATTAACAAATTCATTAACCTTTTTGTTTTTAAATATTTGGGCCAAGTGAAATTAAGTATTACATTAATTATAAGTTTGGCCCATTAACCATCAATTAAGTTAAAATCAATTACTTAATAAATGTATGTCAACTAATTAATTGTAGTTGTCGAATAATTTAAAATTCTCACACCCACTTCATCGAGTTATCATAAATGACACGGGTTAACTATCGGGAGGATGAAAAAAAAATTCTATTAATGACTTTTCGGGTCATTATATCTATGTAAAAATAGATAATATCTAAGTTTATATATAGTACTTTTAAGTTATAGAAATTAATATAGACTATCAATACATGAATTTTTGGAACCGAGTATAATAATTATTTTCTGCACAATGAATATAAGTATTATATGTGTATAAATTCAATCTAACTAGATACAATAACTTCGCAGAAACATAAACAACAAAGTATAAAATATGTACTCAAAAACAACAATTTATATCATAAGCATAAAATAATGAGTGTAAAATAACATACCCAAGATATGTAAAACTAGAATGAGATATAAACGAAAAATCTTAGTTCACTTAATGCACAATGTTCCCTTTAAGAAAATCACCCCCTCCAATACAAGAGGTTTAAAGAATTAGATCCTTTCAGGATGGAACGATTTTATTCACCAACTTATTGTAAAAATAATAGTGTTAGTAAGTCACTTAACCAAGCAAAGTAGACAAATATTCAATTTTGCGCAAGTAGTAGAAGAAGATTACAATTATTTGGAAAGGTTATATCCCTTTGAAAAGTTCACAACCTTTCACAAAAGTCGCAACTTTTCATTAAGTCACGACTCTTCATTAAAGTCGCAACTTTCTATAAAAGTCACAACTTCTGATAAAAGTCGCAACTCTTCATTAAAGTCATACCTTTTGATAAAAGTTACAACTCTTCATTAAAGTCACAACTTTTCATGAAAGAGGAAGGCTAGTTTTAAAAATGAATAAATTTAAAAGGATGTTATTGCTTGTGGTAGGGCCACGTAGACGGGCCTAGGATTCTCTTTTATATGAATATATTTATATATATATATATATATATATATATATATATATATATATATATATTCTTAAAAAATGAAATATGTTTCTAAAAATTATAATCAAATACATATTAAAATTTCAATTCAAAACATCAATAAAATTTAGTTTCTTAAAAATATGTAAAAAATTATGATCAAACGCTAGCTCAGATACATATAATAAAGGAAAAGGAAGGGGTGAACATGACTAGATTGGGTCAAATTTTTCAAATATCAAAATATTGTCAAATTATAAAATCTATAAACCAATCAAACTAATAAAACTCAAAATTTTCAACCTTGGGTCTTTTTCGGATTTCAATTTTTTAGTTAAAGTATTCATATAAACATATAACTAACATGTACTT